CTGTTTGGGCAGCTAGTGGAGCTGGCACCTAGGTTGAAGTCCATTATCTGTCTTGCAACAGCCCATCAGGATAATTTCCAGATGCCCTGCTGTAGGAGATGGGCAAACATCTCAACCCCAAGACCAGGGCTTGGTGGTCTTTTTGGCCTGAAGAGCAACAGCTGCCTTTATTTCTTTAATGCTCACCAGTGACAGGCCCCCTCCTGAACTTAGGCTCTCATGTAAGCCATGGCTAGAGCATGGGGCTTATATATAGATTGGTGTCTGCAATCAGGTCAGGAATGCAGATCTTGGACAGATAGCCCCTGACCAGTAACTCCTGTTTGTGGCAGGTTGCCTTCCACATCCAGCCCTACAAAGGCCGGGATGACATCACTCTACATGACAACATCAAGTACATCATTGACACGTAAGGTGGCTCTGGGGGCTGAGATTTTGGTAGGATCAAAATGAGGGTGGGGGTAAGTTTGGATGGGCAGGCCAAAAGACACAGAGTAGAATGCCTGTATTCTTAGCAGCTGTCTTACAGTGAGAGTGCTGGGCTTGGAGTCAGGCAATCTGGATTTAAATTCCAGTTCTGTAGCTTCCAATCTGTGGTCAGAGGCAAGCTTTGAATCTTGTGAATTACATGAGTTAGGATATGTGAAAGTGGCTTGCACAGTACCCAGAACGTATTCATGCATTCATTCAAAAAATATTTGAGTGCCTTCCAGGCACTACTGTCCTATACCCTAGTTATACAGAACTGGGTAACAAGATTTCTCATTTCAAAGTTTACATTCTAGTATGTGTTGGGAGTACAGTGGTACAGACAGTAATTAAACAGGAAAAAAACAGTATCTATACTATGAAAAAAGGCACCGTGGTGGTGCAATAGTTGAGCACTCAGCTGCTAACAGAGTTTGGTGGTCTGAACTCACCCAGGGGCTCTGGAGGAGAAAGACCTGGTGATCTGCCTCTATAAAGATTACAGCTGAGATACTCTATAGGGCAGTTCTATTCTGTCACATGGTATCACTATGGTTTGGAATAGACTCAACAGCACCCGGCAACAACTATGAAAATAAATAAACAAACAGGGTGTTAAGTCTATGCCCAAGAAACTTTAGAATGGGTGGTCAGGTAAGCCTATCTGAGATGACAATTGAGCTAACACTCAATGAAGAATCAGCTCTGTAAAGATATGGGAAGCCAGCAGAAAATTCCAAGGAGAGGTATAAAGAGGTTGGTATGACAATGGAATAAAAAGGCTAGTGTAGCTGGAGTGGAGAGATGGGTGGGGAAGTAAGAGTGGAGGTAGGCAAGGCCAGATCAAGTAGCTCTTATAGGTCATGATAAGGAGCAGTCAGATTTGATTTACATTTGTAGTACAAGAGAACAGATTATAGGAAGGGAGAGGAAGGCTAGAGACCAGTTAGGCAGCTACTACGGCAATCCAGATGAAGGTGGTGGCGGCTCGCCCTAGATTTGGGGGGTGAGACCTGAATAAATGACAGGTCTGGGAGTGGGGCAAGGGAACAAAGCTCTTGCTTAGAGGAATGATGAGTCCAACTTTGGAGATTTGTTTGGACCCTAAATTGTGCTCTCGCCATCAGGGAAAGAGCTCACCCACTGCTGGCCCTATAGCTGCTGGCTTTGTCCATACAAGGCTAACTTAGGCTCTTCCTCCTGCTCCTCAGGTATGGCTCCCATGGTGCATTTTACCGCTATAAGAACAGCATGGGTAAGAGCCTCCCACTCTTTTATATCTACGATTCATACCTGACATCCCCTGAGGCCTGGGCCCATCTCCTGACACCTAGTGGGCCCCACTCAATTCGCAACACCCCTTATGATGGAGTCTTCATAGCGCTGCTGGTGGAGGAAGGGCATACCCATGACATCCTCGCTGCTGGATTTGATGGGATGTACACCTACTTTGCCTCCAATGGTTTCTCCTTTGGCTCCTCCCATCAGAACTGGAAAGCTGTGAAGAACTTTTGTGATGCCAATAACCTCATGTTCATTCCCAGTGTGGGGCCTGGCTACATTGATACCAGCATCCGCCCCTGGAACAACCACAATACGCGGAACAGGGTCAATGGCAAGTACTATGAGACAGCCCTGCAGGCAGCCCTGACAGTGAGGCCTGAGATTGTTTCCATCACTTCATTCAATGAGTGGCACGAGGGCACCCAGATTGAGAAGGCTATTCCCAAGAAAACATCAACTCGCCTCTATTTGGACTACCTGCCTCACCAGCCCAGCCTGTATCTGGAGCTGACCCGCCGCTGGGCAGAGCACTTCATCAAAGAGAAGGAGCAGTGGCTGATGTGAAGGGCCTGCAAACTGGGGGATGAGGTCCCAGCCTCACTGGAAAATATGAGGCTCAGCTGAGAGGGTGTAGGCACTCACCCATCTCCAAGTCAGCAGCTGGGTGCTTCCACATGGGCTATCGAGCCTGGGCCCATGTAGAACAGAGCCTGTTTCTCAGGCAAGTGGTGCTGGGGTTCTCTGCAGTCCTAGGAAACACAGCAATGGTCCAGAGAGGCAACGGCAGAGGCTGCCAGGTGACGACTTAGCCCAGGGCCCAGATCCTTGTCAGTTAGGGAACTTCAAAATAATCCATTCTAGCTTCGACCTCTGCAGAGCCTGGTGTTGTATAGTGAAGCCAACCAGTCACTATTCCTGGAAGGATGTCAGGGTTCTGGGCTAGCATATACTCTGCTGCCTTCTGCCAGCCTGTGTCCTCTATTCAGACTTCTTTCCCATATCCAGTCTGTCTTCTAAGTTAGGGAACCATATTTGAGATTTTCTGAAAGGGAAATTCTAGGTTTAGGCTCTTCCCAATAGATACCTGTACCCAGTTATCAGAAAATGATAATCCAGAGCTTTCACACATTCAGCACACTCATCCAACTCCTTACTATGTGCTAGGTGTTGGGGGGAAAACATGACCAAGGACCAGTTCCTGTTCTAAAGCTTATAGGATCTAGCTTTCCCTATTTGGTGTGGCCTTGTAGCTAGCACCTGGGCACAGTGCTCTAAGAAAATACCCCACCCCCAGTGCTCTAAGAAAATACCTCTGTGCTCTGCAGCCTACATTTTTCGCAGATGAACATTTAGCTCCAGGAGACGAGGATATATCTGCCTGCCTTTAGCTGTCTAAACTGAACAAGGCCCACTCACTAGAGCCAATTTCAGTGCTACTGTGATTTGTATTAAAACTAAGTGGTGTTCTCAAGCAAGCATTCCTTCTGCGCTCTCCAAGAACTCATTAATTCTGACCCCGCAGTCAGATTTCACGACAAACTGAGGTGTGGACTGGGCTGGCTACATTATCAGCACAATGAAGAATGGGTTTGCTTAAGAAATTAGTAGTTTAAACAAGACTTCTAGAGGGAATATTTAACAACCAGTATTTATTTACAAATAAACTAATATGTTAATTGCAGGGACCCTCATTACAGCAGATTCCTGTAACACCATGCCAAGATTCTTAAGATCTGTTTGAAAATAACTGTATCATAAACCACTGTATCGTTAAGTTTATGGACTCAAAACTGAGTCCTAATCCTGGTAACTGGGACACAAGGGAGTAAGGAGGAAGTAGACCCTAGTGACATGGACACCCAGCTCCAGCTGGGTCACTAACACTAAATCACTGGGTGGATGCACAGGCCTGCCTGCATTGCCTGTAGATTAGTTGAAGAAACCATGGCAGGCAGGACAGGTAAAAGGGCTGGATGCTGACCAGTTATTTACAAAAGCTAATCACAATGAGGCATCACTTTACACACACACACAATTTGAAAACTAAAGTTATGGCAAGGGGGGAAGCAGCAATTTTCACACACTGCTGATGGCAATGTAATTTGATTCAGTTCTTCTGAAAGCTAATAATCTGTATCAAGAGCCATAAAAATGTTCATACACTCTGACCCAGTAATACTTCCCAAAGGAGACTAATTCAAAAGAAAAATAAACCATTTACGATGCTTAATGGTAGTATTGTTTTGTATCAAAGAAAAACAAAGTTCAAATGATCAACAATAATTGTGTTTAACACTTGGAGATACATATACAGATAAAAGGCCATTTTGTAACTATTGGATTTAAATAAAGATGGTATAGATATAAACCCAACCCACACCCATGGCCATCAAATGGATTCTTAACCATAGCAACCCTATAGGACAGAGTAGAACTGCCCCATAGGGTTTCCAAGGCTGTCAATCTTTCCAGAAGCAGACTGCTTCATGTTTCTCCTGCAGAGTGGCTGATAGGTTCAAACCACCAACATTTTGGTTAGCAGCTGAGTGCTTAACCACTGTGCCACCAGGGCTCCTTTTATAAATATAATTATCTATAATTTATTTCATGACTAAGTAAAAAAAAGAACCACCAACTGAAAAAAAAAAAGCAGGAATTTATTTTCCAGTATTTAATTTGGATTCCCCCTACCACTACCCGCTGCCAACTGAGCAGACATCCCACTATTAGACCAAAAGAGTGACTCTCTGGCAGACAGTTACAGTGCACCACCACCAGAGGAAATGGTGTTTAGCCTGCACTCTACATCTTATCTTACCCTGGTTCCAGCTTAAACCTTAAAAGGATCCCAAATCCACGTCTTTGGTCACTTGAGACTTATGAACAATACCAGCTCCTCTAGATGGTTTGGACCTTAAAAGCCACCACCCACCAACAAGGAGGCTCTCGCTAGATTTCAAATCTTATTTACATCACTTAAAGAAAGAACAATGCCTCCTTACAATCATTTCTAATCTATTTTTCAGTTTTTCACTAAAATACAAAATTAAATAAAATAAATAAAACATTCTCCCCAGCTAAACCAGTAGCTTCTGGGGTCCGGTCTATAGTATTCAGAAAAACATGCTGCTTAAAGGGGTCAGTCTAATGTTGTAGCCCCAGCAGCCTCTGTAATGAGGCCTTGGCAACTACCAGTGGACAGACACATAGTGTCCACATCAATTCTTGGGCCTGCCTCCTTCCAAGTTTCACGAGCAGGGTCCATCTGAGAGGAGCAGCCCATACTTCCGTTGGAGGATGGCTGTTGTACTTTCCAGGGCACTGAGGAGAAAATAGAGTAGAGTTCAGTCTGACTTCTCAAAGCTGTAAGCCCACCAGAGTGTGGTGATCAGGGACCTCTAAACTCAATGGCCTTACTAAGTTCTGTTCCTCAAACTCTTGGGGGAAGTCTTCCGAATCCTGAAAAAGCCAGCAGAACCCAGCAAACTTAGTCCCATTGTACCCACCATTTCTCTGAACCCGCCTGCTCCACTCAGGAAGTGACAACTGCCCTCTGTCAAGGCTTCTTTTCTAGGCCCATGACACAGGAAAGAGACTCACCAGCCTGAGCGAATGATGCCAAACTTTCCAGGCACAGATAAGTCGACCACAGTTGAGCCGAGGCGATATTCAGGGCTCTGGTCATCCCCAATTGGCCCCCCATCAATGACCAGGGACAAATGAGGCCAGAGGTCCTGGAACTCCTGAGGAGGAGGAGAGCGGAAGCCTAGACATCACCCCTGGCATCTGCAATATCACACTACATGCAGAGTTGGTAAGGCAAAGGTTGTATAGTTTTAAAACAAGAGGCATCTTCCACTAAGCACAGAATAGAAACTCATTTGGTCGGAATAAAAACACTGCATTAGCACCCAAGGCACTGCTTCCTATGAGGTTTGGAGCCCCTTGGGTGACAGCTCCAAATAACACCTATTTAGAGTCTAAAGGAAGGTTAGGCAATCTACTTCTGTAGTGATACTGCCTCAGAAACCCAAGGAAGGATGGAGCCCTGGTGGTGCAACAGTTAAGCACTTGGCTACTAACTGAAAGGTTGGTGGTTTGAACCCACCCAATGGCTCCATGGGATAAAGACCTGGCAATCTGCTCCTATAAAGACTACAGCCTAGAAAACCCCAGGGGACAGTTCTAACCTGTCATATGAGGTTGCTGAGTCAGAAATCAACTTGAAGGGACCTAATAACAACAAAACCTAAAGAAAATGTTGGTATACCAGGGGGAAATTCCACATACTGCTTCAGTTAGAGAGATGTAAGTACATGTCTGGAGTTAGAATCCAGAGATGTGGGTTGTAACCATGAACTTTCCACCAAAGCTGTGTGACTTTGGCAAAGTTATTCCAGCTCCAGCTACAAAAAAGAAGGGTAGACTAGATGATCACTAAGGGTCCTTCCATCTGTAGCACTCTGACCTTGGACTTCAGTGGTACTCCATTGGGATCAGGCAAGAGAAAGGAAAACAAGATGGGGTATGCAAGTGCTTGCCACCAGGACTCAATCTTTGGGGCTACGGGAAAGATATTCCCAACTAGACTGTGGGCTCAATTGTTAATGTGCCAGAGCTCTCATCCCACCCCACAATGAAGATACTGCAGTGGTGGTTAGGCCTGGAAATATGGGATGGGGGCTCATAAATACCAGTTATCGTTTGCTGAAAAGGTAAGAACCACTGCCCCCCAACCCCCACCACCTTGGGTACAGACACCAGGACCAAGGAAAATCTGCTGTGTACAGAATAAGGAGGACACTGAGCTTTCTCTTTCGAATGTCCTTGAAAGTACTCTCTAGGTCTAGGCATGGAACTCTTTATCTTATTATCGTGTTCTAACTTCAAAAAGGAGCTCTGGTAGCGTAGTGCCTAAGGCACTTGATGGCTAACCAGAAGGTGGGCGGGTTCAAACCCACCAGCCACTCCTCAGAAGGAAGATGAGGCAATCTACTTCCGTAGTGATACTACCTCGGAAAAAAGACAACAAATAATTTTTTTGTGTCCTCACTTATTCTAAGCTAACATCCAAGACATGATTAGGATGATCTTTTCTTCAACCTGGCTTGTGGCAGAGGTGAGAGAACAAGGACAGCAGTCACAAACTGAGTAAAAATCTGGGTCTGTCTCTTAATGGCTAAGTAACCTGGGACAAGTGATTTAAGTTCTAGGAGCCTTATCTGCTTCATACTCTTTATAGCATTGTATTCAACAATTACCCCCGTGAAAGCCAGAAAACAATGATTTTACTTTACCATAATCTTACAATCTTTCCTATCACTATAAAGAGTAAGAAACAAAAAACAAAAACCACCTGCCATGAAGTCAATTCCAAATCATGGTGCCCCTACATGTGAGAGAACTGTACCCCATAAGGTTTTCAATGGCTGATTTTTTCCAGAAGTAGCTCACCAAGCCTTTCTTCCAAGGAACCTCTGGGTGAACTCAGATCTCTACCCTTTCAGTTAGCAGCCGAGTATGTTAACCATTTGTACCAGCCAGTATCATTATAAAGATAAAAATACAATTCTCCTCTTAGCCTCTCAAACTCTGCAGTAAAAGCTTTCCAAAATTCTTTAATTTGGATTCCCCTAAAACCTACATACTGCCCCAGGGAAGATATCCCACTATTAGACCAAAAGAGTAACTCTGCTAAGCAATTACAGTAATTGGCTCAGAGAAAACAGTGTTTGGTAACTCTCACCTTGACATTCAGAGAACTGGCCTGGGAACTGAAGTTGGCACTGGTGAGTGCAAGAGGTCCACCAAACACCCGAGCCAAGTCCTGCATGAAGGCATGGTCAGGAATCCGGATGCCTACAAGCTATGAGGCAAAAGGATCATCAGAAAGGTTGGCAGGGGAAAGGAAAGGATCTTCCAGGAGTCTGGGGACACAACAGAAAATTTAACTCACATGAGTGAAGGGGTTCAGATCCTTGTTGAGCTCCTCTGAGCGTTCCATCACCAGGGTCACTGGTCCTGGCAAAAGGTCTTTGAGGAGCTCCTCAGGGACTTTCACACGGCAGTACCTGGGAAACAAGTATAACTCTACCAAGGACAAATTCTATCAATGACCAACTCTGTTGGTTCTTTCCTAGACTCCTTTTCTTAGAAAAGGGAGTCCATGGGGCCTGCAATGGGATCTAACAGCTTCACCTCCTTAAGAACCTGAGCAGAAGCTCCAACTCCAGAGGAGTATCCTAAGCTTAGAAATCACATGCTTCCCGTCTCAGGAGCTACAACAGCTGCATACCACGCTCAACGTCTTATTTTCTTCAAGGCACTCCCTATTTTAATTTAATAGGCATTACCTGCTAAATATGGGAGCTCTGGTAGCATAGTGCCTAAGGCACTTGACTGCTAACCAGAAGGCTGGCGGTTCAAACCCACCAGCCACTCCTCGGAAGGT